GCGGGGAGGGGGCAGCCCTGCCCTGTGGTCTGCGTGTCCTGTTCCCTGGGGTGCTAAGTCAGAATCCGCAGGCTCCCCCTGGCCTGCAGCACGTACCCCTGGGGTGCTGCGGATTGCGTGTCCATCACAGGAGGCAGGTGGTCCGGCCGGGCCTGCCGCCTCACCCCCCGGCAGATCCTCCGCCCGGCGGGGACGCCAGTCTCCGCCTGCCCACCTCACGTCCAGCCACATCTCACCCCCAGGCCTGCCACGCAGTGGGCAACTTCAAGGCACCGCCCGCAGAGAAGCCAGCGGCCCCGGCGCCCAGCAAGGACGCGCTCCGGGCGCTGACCCAGAGAGGCCACGACTCCGTGTACCAGCAGAGCAAGTCTGCCAGCACCGACGAGCTGGGCCCGCCCGGCCGGCTGGAGGGCGCGCCTCGGCCCGTGGCGCGGGACAAGGCCTCTCTGGGCAGCCTGAAGCGGGCCAGCGTGGACGTGGACCTGCTGGCTCCCCGCAGCCCCATGGGCAAGGAGAGCATGGTGACCTTCAGCCACACCCTGCCCCGGGTCAGCACCCCGTCGCTGGACGACCCGGCCCGCCGCCACATGACCATCCACGTGCCCCTGGACGCCTCGCGCTCCAAGCAGCTCATCACCGAGTGGAAGCAGAAGTCCCTGGAGGGCCGCAGCCTGGGGCTGCCCGACGAGGCCAGCCCTGGGCACCTCCGGGCACCCTCAGAGCCCATGGCGGAGGAGGAGGAAGAGGAGGAGGAGGAGGACGACGAAGAAGAGGACGAGGAGGACGAGGAGGGCGAGGAAGGGGGCCCCGCCCCCCCGTCGCTCTACCCCACAGTCCAGGCTCGGCCGGGGCTCGGGCCTCGGGTCCTCCTGCCCCCGCGGCCCGGGCCGCAGCCCCTGGTGCACATCCCCGAGGAGGGGGTGCAGGCCGGGGCCGGGCTGTCGCCCAAAAGCAGTGCAGCCGTGCGGGCCAAGTGGCTCATGATTGCCGAGAAGAGCGGGGCCGGCGCGGCCGGGGCCGCCCCCACGCAGCCCCGACTGGCCAACCCGCCCAGGCTGCTGCAGGTGATCGCCATGTCCAAGGCGCAGGGCCCCAAGGCGTCCGAGACGGCCTCGTCGTCCAGCGCCAGCTCCGACTCCTCCCAGTACAGGTCTCCCTCGGACCGCGACTCGGCCAGCATCGTCACCATCGACGCCCACGCGCCCCACCACCCCGTTGTCCACCTCTCGGCAGGGAACGGGCCTTGGGAATGGAAGGTGGCCGGCGGCGGGGCCAAGGGGGCCGAGGGCGAGGGCGGCTGTGAGCTGGGGGACCTGGCCCGAGGCTTCCGTGTCGGCCCCAAGCCGCTGGGCGTGTCCCCAGGCTCCTCCATGAGTGACATGGACCAGGAGGAGCCACGGTTTGGGGCAGTGGCCACTGTCAACCTGGCCACGGGGGAGGGGCTGCCCCCGCTGGGCCCAGCTGACGGGACCCTGGGGCCAGGCAGCCGGGAGTCCACGCTTCGGCGCCAAGCGGGCGGCCTGGCGCAGGGCGAGTGGGAGACGGGCGAGGCCGAGGCCGAGAGCTACTACCGCAAGATGCAGGCAGCGCGCAGGCTCAAGGACTGAGGGCCGGCGGGAGGGGGTGTGCGGGGCAGACCTTGGCACCTGTGAGCCATTCGGGGACTGGCATGGGGGGCAGCATGGGGCACAGGCGGCGGGGGGGGGGGCGCAGCACCTCGCGGCTGGACAATAAAGGGTCTGTGCTAGAACCTGGCTGGCTGCCGTCCGGAGCCTTCATTGGGGGTCTCTGCGCCGTAGGCCCCCCACTCACTTTGGGCTTTCGGGGGCCTTGGCCTTTGGGCGGGGCGTCGGGGGGGGGGAAGGGTGTGGCGGCAGCACCTGACCCCAAGCTACCCTGAGCCCTCCGAGTGAGGCAGAGTCGACTCAGAGCAAACAGCAGAGAAGACACAGGCCCGACAAGCTGCAGTCAGGTACAGGGTAGTTTATTCCAGTACAGACCGGCCAAGCCGCCTTCCACACTGAGCAGGAAAAAAGAGCCTATGGAAAAGGTCGGAGTTGTTATAAAATCGTTTTAATTTGGTTCTCTTCCGCATTACAAGCTGTCGGGCGGGCGTGGACGTGCGCTCCACTTACAATACTGAGCCTGTAATCGCCGTTATCAAAATATACATCTGCATCACCATAAAAAACTTGTTTGCTGCCCCTCATGTCTGACAACAGGTATAAAAAATTATAAATATTTACACCCTTGTTACACCCCGACATGGAAACTTGGGGGTCCGGGTCCCAGGGAAGGGCTGGTTAGCAGTCTGTGGGGGAACCCCTTGGCCCGAGCACGGGCCCACAGGCGGGCGGGGGACAATTAAGACGTGACCCTCGGTCCCCCGTTCTAGGGGCCCAGTACTAGAGGCAGACAAAAAAACAACAGAACAAAACTTTGGTCCAAAAATTGGTAGGAAAGAAAGAACCCTGAAAGTTGACGAGCGCGTGCCCTGGGCGGGGCACCGCTGCTGTGTAAGGCATCGGGCCGCGGCCCGCCGCACCTGGGGGCAGCGGGCATGGCGCGGGCCTGCCTGGGACCGGACCCTGCCCTGCTGACTTCGTTAAGGAATAAAATAAAGTACAGTATACAAGTCATACCACGAGGAGGTTTGATTACACTCATACCATTCTTATCTCGCTATAAAAAGCTACTTAAAACTATTTTTGCATATAAACGAAGATTAGAATATTTGGTCAGCTGGAACATCGCTAGGCACAGGTGACAGGTGTCTGCAGCGTCGCGGAGTGCGGGACTACGAGAACCAAGCTCCAAAGCTGAAGAAGCAACGGCGGGCGCCCTCTGGGTCTGGCCCAGGCCGGGGAGAATTACACACTTGATTAACGGACTGAGGGTGTCGGCCTCTCGCCAGACAGGCACATGATCCCAGGTGGGAGGCCTCTCCCCTCGGCCCCCAAACCCCTACACGTTTGCTACCACGAGCAGCCCCGCCGGAGCAGTGGGTTAAGGCACAAGGAAGCCGAGTGGAGGTCTGGGGGAGCCCACCCCGCAGGCTCCAGAAGGCACGGGCGGGCGGCCAGGGGGTGCGGGGCCAGCTGTCCACACATCGCCAGGAGCCTGAGGCTGGCACCCATCTCCCCTAGGTGAGCAAGGTGTGTTAGATTTAATTTTTTTAAAAACAGGTAAACTGATTTCTCTTTAAAAAAATAAAATCTCTGGTCTTTTAAGGTCACTTCAGCTGCTTTTAAAGTGGCTTTTTTCTGGAATGATGGAAGTGTCTCGGGAGCCGGCAGGCTGGTCCTGGCGGCCTAGATGGTGGACTTGGAGAAGGACACGCGCAGGTGGTGGTTCTCGCCCAGGTCGTGGTTGTGCAGGTCGATGAGCGCCTGGATGGCCTCCTCCACGGAGCCCATCTGGATCAAGGCCATCTTGCGGTCCTTCCTGAGGAACATGGCAGGGGTGGGGAGCGGCCCTGGAGAAGGCGGGGGGGGGGGGGGGGAGCCCAGGGCGCGCGCGAGCTGTACTCACTGGAAGAACTTGAACCCTTTGACGATCCCACCGTTGCTGGAGAAGAGAACCTTAAGGTCCTCCTCGGATATGGAGGGCCTGCGGAGCAAGAGGGGCCATGTTGCTGTCCAGTGTCCAGGTCTGTGCACCCAGGACCCAAGATTAGAGGGGACCCCCCCTGCCCCTCCCTCATTAACAGCAGGTCGGGGAAGCATCAGCAAGGGGGGTGGGGGCCGGGCCCGCTGCGGCCTCTGGGCCCAGAGCGGTCTGCACGTACGGGATGTTGGAGAGGTGCAGGGTGGCGGAGGGCGGGAAGATGTTCTGGAAGTTCTTGGAGCCCGGCTTCTTGAAGCGGTGCAGGGGCGAGTTGCCGTAGTCCTTGGTCAGGCCCTGGTCCTCCTGGCCCTCTCGGGGCAGCTGCACGTTCTGGTGCTTGGACAGGGTGATGCGCACTGGCTTCCCGTGCAGCTTGTGCCCGTTGAGGTGGCTCATGGCTGGGGGGGAGGGGGGGAGAGAATGACGCGTGACGTGAAGGCAGGGCCGTCAGCACCCCCCGGGCCCTCCTCCGGCCGCCCCCCTTACCCAGCTGGGCCTGGCTGCCATCAGCCATTTGCACCAGGGCGTTCTCCTTCTTATTGAACAGGATCTTCACGCGCTGCACATCGCCGTACACGCCTTCAAAAGCGCAGGACAGGGCACTGAGCCACCCCGGGCCGCGCCGCCTCCCAGCCAGCCCGAGACCCGCACACCCCTCACAAGGCTGGCTCTTCCTGAGGGTTTGCTCATTCTGCCTCTGGGACCTGCGTCTAGTCACGGGGCGTGACCAGGAGAGCTCCTTCAGCACAGAAGTCATAAATCCAGGAAAGGTAAATGGCCAGAGAACCATTGCTTACATGCTACCAACACGCTGAACTCTCCGAAAAGCATGCAGGGCAATAAACCATGCTTGTCTAGAGTCAAAGTAAAACTGGCAAACCGAAGGCAAACCATGTAAAATGAGGCAGAACGCCAGAGTACAAACTCATGGTACATCTTAGGGCGTTAAAATAACCGCAATTAAATGAAAACAAGGTAATAAAAGTGTGAATGATAACATACCGAAAAGAATAAAGAGGCTTTGGGGTGTGACTCTCTTTAGAGGACAGCAGAGCAAGGCAGCGGAGGGACAGGGAAAGGGAGAGGTCAGGGGCGAGGTGCCAATCGTCCACGCGAGGAAGACAGCCCCCGGCGTGCAGTGGTTGATGGATGATGAAGTTTCAGGATGTTAATATTCAAGGGCAGGTTGGTTTCCGGAGAGCAGGGTTTGAGGGGGGTTTTGTTTTTATTTATTTATGGTTTTGTTTTGTTTCAAGCAACAACAGGAAGCAGAAGTACCGTGCAGTCAGTTGGCAAAGAAATTCCGGATCAGGGCAAGAAAAAAAAATTGGGAAAGGGGAAGGGGAGAAAAGAAAAAGTAGCAAAAAACACAGGTCAGTAAATACATAAGAAAATACGCAGTGTTCCATCAGTCAAGATCTAACAATCACAAGTTACGGGTCGCCTCTCGGAACACAGGCAGAAAAAGCGCCCCTCAGCGAGCAGGAGACGGCGCCCGCCCCGGGCGCGGCTCGGCTCGGCCCCCCGCCCCCACCCGCCCGTCTCCGCTGCTGCTGCTGCGGCGGCGGCCCGAGACACCCATCACACAAGCAACGGGAGCTGCGATCTGTTAGTCCAGGGCTCCGCTGGCCGCCCCTGCCCGGAGCGGCGCGAGCAGGCGAGGGAGAGCAGCCCGCGGCAGGGACAGCAGCGGCCCCACCGCTCGGGTTAAGTGACCTGCGCCCACCGTCTCACCCTCGGTCTCTCCAGCCCAACGTGGTGGCGGAGACACACAGGCAGGTTCCTTTCAGAACTGCGACCTGTGTGGGCACAGAGGCACCAGAGGGCCTTGCAGACCTCGCTTTATTTGGCTCCCAGTTTGAGATTGCTCTCTCATGCCAAAAATATTTCAACTCTGATTATGGAATTGAAAACATAAATCAAGGTGTTAGGAGACAGGAGACTGGAGCGTCTGGGAGAGAGGTCACGGGAGGGGTCAGCACGCAGTGGGGACCGCACCAGGGGGTCTGGGCCTGCTGACCGCCTGCTGGGGGCGCTGCTCTGGTCTGCACTAGTCCTGGGCGCACAGCGCGAGGCCGTGGACCCGGAGCGGGGAACGTACCTCGGGGTTGAGATTGCTGACCAGCAGGACAGAGTTCCCGGTCCCTGCCAGGCCCGGGATGGCGATCCTGCCCGCTGCCGCCGCCGCCGCCGCCGCCGAGGGGATGGCCAGAGGGGCCAGGGCGCCGTGCACGTTAGGAACAGAGAGGCCTGGGGAGGAAGACGGCAGGAGGCGGTGAGCACGCCGGCCGCCCGCCGCGCGCGGGCACATGCAGGAGACACGCAGGAGGCGCCGCCGGGCCTCCGTCCTCGCGTCACGGCAGAGCCCTGGGCTGGGACAGTCCACATGCGCCAACACCAAGCCGACTCCGTGGCGCAGGCTCCGGCCCCACGGGCGCGGCCGTGCGTGCATGCAGGTGCCCAGTCACCATGCGGATGGCACGCCCGAGGGGTGCAGCAGGCTCACGACCGTCAGGCGGGCGGGCACCTGGCCCCCAGGAGGGACACTTGGATGATGCCACCCTGGCTCATGCCACTCTGCTTACCAGGCCACTTATACCATCTACTAGGGACAGATCCCTCCAACCACTGTGTGCGCTCGTCCTCGCCCAGGGTGCTTGAAGGGAACCAGACCAGACACTTCGGGGTCAGCGGGCTCTCCGGCCCCGTCCTGACTGCCCTGTCTAGGCCTCCTTGGGGGAATGGAGGCCCGCACCCAGGAAGGTGGGCACCCCTGTGCTGAGCCCACACCGCTGCCCATGGAAGCAGAGCTACTGGAAAGGTGTGGGCATGCACACTGCCATGGGGACAAGGTCAAGTGTTTGAATACCTGCAGCTTGAGGAATTGCAAAGGTGGGAGGGAAACCAGCTCCTGCATACGGAGAGGCTGACATTATACCAGGCGCACCTAGAAATAAATGAGACACTAATCATCGCACCCACGACCGTCACCTCGGGCAACAGCTGGGTGGGGCCAACCCCAGACCCGACGGGTGGGCTCTGCCCGGGTGTCTCCTCCCGTCCTGGGCACTCGGGGCCAGTGCTACACTGGCCTCGGGACGTGGCTTTCTCTGGCAAAGACAAGCACCGACCTCCCTGGGTGCGGGGCCAGTGTCTAGGCAGTCCGAGCCCTGGGCGCTGAGCCTGACTACGTCCTCGCCTCCCGCGCACACAGTGGGGGGCCTTCGTGGCGTCTTACCGAAGGCTGCGGCCATAGTCTGGTCCAGCGAGGGCTGGCTGTCCCCAGACGGCAGGTCTGGGCGGGTGTAGTCACGACTCTTATCGTTGTTGTACTTGACGTTGAGGCTGGTGAGCTTGGAGAAGTCGATGCGGAGGGTGCAGCAAGCGTTGTAGATGTTCTGCCCATCCAGAGACTGTGGGCAAGAGGGCTGTGAGCAGCCGGCCGCCTGCAGGCTGGGCAGGCGGCCGGGCACTGGGGCCACTCACCAGCTTGGCGTGCTGGGCGCTCACAGGGTCGGCATACTGCAGCAGCGCCTGGAACTGGTTGTTCTTGGTGAAAGTGATGATTTTTAAGACGGTGCCAAACTTGGAAAAGATCTGCAGAAAGAGAGGCAGTCAGGCCCTGGGCCACGACCAGGACCCTGCGGCTGACCCCGGGCGGGCACACTGGACCCGATGGCACCTACCTGGTGCAGCACGTCCAGGGTCACCGGGTAAAAGAGGTTCTCCACGATGATCCTGAGCACCGGGCTCTGGCCGGTCATCGCCATCCCAGCGTCCACCGCAGCAGCTGAGGCGGCCAGGGCCAGGTTTCCAGACTGGACCGAGTTCACGGCCTGCAGGGCTGCCTGGGCTCGCTGTGGGGCGAGGGGGCAAATCACTGAGCTCACCGGGGCCAGGCCCCCGTCGGCCCCACCCGCCCGCCTGCGGGCTCACGAACCGCCTGGTTGGGGGAGCTGTCCGTCTTGAGCTCCTTGTGGTTGGAGAACTGGATGTAGATGGGCTGGCCGCGCAGCACGGGCGTCACGGAGGTGTAGTAGTTCACCATGGTGTTGGCCGCCTCCTCCGTGCTCATCTCGATGAAGGCCTGCGGGGCCGCCCGAGTCAGACCCAGACCTCAGCGGGGCGGGTCTGAAGGGGGGTGGGGGGGGCTGTGCAGGGCATACCTGGTTCTTCCCTTTCAGCATCAGGAGATTGGTGACCTTCCCGAAGGGCAGGCCCAGAGAGATGACCTCACCCTCAGTGACGTCGCTCGGGAGCTTCCGGATGTGGATCACTCTGGAAGGCACGCCGGCGCTCCTGCTGTCCCCTTTGAACTTCTTGCTGTCGTTCCCATTTGCTGGAAGTGTGGATTTGTATGACCCAAAGCAGCTCCCACACGAGAGCCCATCCCGCCTCAGAACCAGGTTTGGTTTGTCCTTCTGTGGGGCCCGACAGGCCCGGATCTCCACGTCAGTCTGTCACCGCCCGTCTGGCGCCCGTGACCTGGACTCCAGGCACAAGCCGTCCCCGAGTCTGCACGGTCCCCATGCGTAGTCTGTGCAGAGAGGGGCCCCCCCACGCAGGCGCCGGGCGGGCCACGAGGGAAGTTACCTGCGGAAGCCGAGTTGCTGCTCATGATAAAGGGTCCGTTAGTTACACAGGTAGAGAAAAGCTCGTCAGATCCCCGCTGGAAGAGAAAGGGGGAACAGAGCTGAAGCCGCAGTCGAAGTTGAAGGGACAGACACCCCCCCCAGAGCCCCAGTCAGGAAGCACCCCCATCTAATCACTGCGGCCTGCTCCTGCTTGAAGGCACCCGTCCCCCTCAGGAGGGCCCCCCGATCCTGTGATCTAAGATTCTACCTTTCCAACCTGTGACCCCACTTTCCCAAGGTAGACTGGGGGGGGTCAGCTCTACACAACCCCCCCCTTCCACATTCTGCCTGACTCTCCCCTCGTCTATAGTCGTCCTCATGGAAGCTCATGACCGTGTATCATCACCAGCCCCTGGCCCTGCTCTGCCCTGGGGCACATCCCTAGTCCTGCCCGAACCACTTGCAAAGGTGGCAGCTCAATGGCACAGCCCCCCGGGAACACGACCCCTTGTCGTGTTGCGTCATCTGCTCAACTAGAGCTTCTCTTCTCTTCCAGTCGTTCAAGGAAACCAGCCTCAGCCTCGGCACTTTCATGGGAAGAAACACCAGCTTTTTCTGAGTGGGCATGTTGTTCTGCAAGGAGGGAGCAAGCCCAGGGACGGCCAGAGCTGCCCATCTGTGGGCAGGCTCTCTGGGATTAACTGCTCCGTTTTCTCTCGAAAAACAATTTGTTTACTCACTAGTCTCTGTGACTGAATCAGCTCCCCAGAATCACAACTGCTGAACCCGGACTTAGGAGGGAGATGGCCGTCCTGCTGGGCCAGTCTACTGGGTGACCACTTGGGAGTGCGCGCACTCAGGGAAATGGCCAACAGTCCTCGGACCCAGATGCAGGTCAAGGCCCAGACACCCCCCCAGCCACTGGGGGCAGGACGCCCAGTTCCGCAGGTGCCTACACCGTGAGCGGCGCGGAGTTCCTGCTGAGAATGGGTCCCAGGCCGCCCCGACGGGCCAGACCTGCCTCTGGCATCAGGAAGGACCAGTGTCACCATCATGGCCAGTCCCGCTGACAGTAGGACTCAGAGCTCCCTGGCTGCTGGGGCCACTGCAGTGGGCATGCGGCCAACCCCGGGCCCCACTCTGCGCTTGCTGAAGGCCATGGCCACAGCCGTGCTGGGACTCGCAGAGGGAGGGCCCCAGGGAGAAGCTGCAGGGGCGGTGTCGGCCCTGAGCAATGACCACATACTATTGGAGGGTCGGGGGTTGATACAAGTAAAGCGAAAATGTTAAAGATGTTTTCTGCAGACCCTGCCCTGGGGTAACTGAGTTCACCTTCCAAAGAAAACCGCTTACCCAGCTGCCTGAGGTCAGTTCACAAGTGGAAGAGGCTGCCCAGCTTAGGCCCAAACCAAGGGGGGGAGTCACAGGGAAATTGCAAGCCCCAGAACCTTCCACTTACAAATGCGAGCAGTTCCCACCTAGCCACCCCACAGAAAGCCCCTTCCTACCTGACTGCTGGCCGTGACTGCGGTCTAGGGCAGCTAAGACTAGGGTAGCCCAGAACAGGCAGTGACCAGTGACCCAGAAGCAGACCAGGGCAGCACTCAGGCACACGTGCTAGGTGCGAGGGTGGGCACCTCCAGAGTAGGAGCTACGGTGGGCGGCAGGCCTGCTACTGGCCACCGACGAGGGAGACTGGCTGCTCTCAAGGAGGGCTGACGAGCCTCCGATTCGCCCTCCTGCACAGGCCTCACTCTGGAAGCAAAGGTCTTCTGAGGGGCTGCTCCAGGGACACCCGGAAGAGCTGTCCAGCTGCGCTGACAAAGCTGCAGACTGGTGCAAGCCAGATCGTCCCTGAGCCTGTTGCAGATGAAAGTCCCGCTCCCTCCTCCCACCACTGAACAAACAGGTTTTGCTCACAGAAGACTGGGACAGGCAGTTCGGAAGACAAGAATCCACCTGGGAAAACTGAAACCCAGGCTGAGACCAGGTGGCGGCCTGCTCGGGGAAACGCAGGCACCGCAGTGGGCTCCGGAACAAGTCTGGGGGAGGGGCCTACAGTCCGCTAATGGCCGGAACTGGCTTAGGTAACACCACCGGCAGCCAACTGACCGGCAGCACTTACAATCAACCCTGGACCCAGGTGTCCCCAGAGACAATTCCTGGAGAGCTGGAGGCTGGCGGCCCAGAGGCTGGGTCCCCGGGCCCACCTGCTATGGGGGCAGAGGGCCTGCCAGGGCACCAAGGTCTCAGCCGCCTACCCCCGGGAGGGGTGTCAGCACTGTGCACCTGCAGCGCCTCCATCTTCCTTCCCCAGAAAATGCGTGGAATTTTCAGAGCAAGCCACAGGTATCAGGACACCGTTCCAAGCAGCCTATCAGCCCCACATACCCAACAGGTGGGCTGGGCACATAACTTGCCACATCCCAGGGCACCTGGAACATTTACGACTGGCCCCCAAAACAGCAACTCCCACTCTTAGGCTGAATTTTCAAGGCAGGGAGGGAGTGTCAAACTGTCGCCGGCCCTGGGCGACCAAACCAGAGCTGAAACTCGGCCTGCAGACATGTCACGTGTTTGTTACACTCCGGCCCTTGGTCCCACGGTGCCACCAGACGGCAAACACGGGGCACCACACCAAGGAGGCCCAGCACTCCAACACAATGACAAGCCCAGTGAGGGAGAAAATGAGAAATGCCTACCTTGGTACCAACTGCTATATCTGGGACAATGCTGTAGAGAGAAAAGGAGAACGTTAGCAGTGCACACACGGCGAGCGCAAGGCAGGGCGGGTGGCCCACCCCAGGGGCGAAGGGTTGCACCTGCGGGCCAGGTGCTCCCCCTAAAGCAGAGCTGGGACAGGGAGGCGGCCAGCCCTCTCCACCCTGACCTGAAAGGAATGTCCCTGTCCCGCTCCTCACAGCACGCTGCCAGCACTGCCCCATCCTTTCCAGAGTCCAAAAAGGCTCCTCAAGGGCCCGCAGGGACGCTGGATGCTTTCCTCCTACAGTTCAAGTGCTGTTTGTTTGCTAAAGTCTGCACACGCCCAGGTGGCCCTCGACGACTGCACAGGCAGTGGGAAGGCCAACATGTTCCCAGGTCAGGGTGGGCGAGCTGTGTGTGAGCGCACAGGAGCCTCCCAGGTTCCAAGAACTGAAGACTCCGGCCAAGGAAGGGGCAGTTGAGACGATCAGATAAAACCGGCACAATTAAGCAAGCCAGGGGTTACTCATCAACCCTGCGCGGTGACTGGACTTTCTCCTCCCCTCACCAAGCTCAGGAAGCAGGGTGGGGAGGACGCAGCCGCCCCAGGTTCAGCAGCCCCTCGGCCCCCACTGTGGCCCCCAAGATTGGCCGAGGGCCTACATGACTCAGGGACCATTTACCAGGAAGGGAACTGAGCAGCACTGCCTCCCCGCCCCGAACCGGTCACCTGGCCACCAAGGTCTGGCCGGTCTGTGACCAGTCTCCCGTGATGTCACAGGACCAGGGCAGAAGGGCCCAGCACCTTCCAGGCAACTCTGAGCATTTTTTCTCCTGCACGGAGAGCCACATTCACAGCTCCAAAACCCAGGACTAGACCCAGAAGCCGGGCACCCAGTCCTTGCCAATTCTGACCCAGCGGACCAGTATCTTGGTAACGGGTTTTGCATCTTCATCACCAAAAAAGTTTCAGGCCAGAGTCAACATTTTTTAAAGCTTACTGAGCCAAAGGAAAAGGCAGAGAAATTCAAGAATGAGAAGCATGCAATTTCCCTACCTCTAACCCAGACTTCCCCAGCTCCCAAGGAAAGTCTCACTCAGGAAGTGATTTACGTAAAATGGCCTTTCTTTCAGAGCGCTCGGGCCTCCACAGGCGCCAAACTAAACGGCTCCTGAGGCCAGGCCAAGCGGCTTGAGAACCAACCACGGCCATGCACAAAACTCCGCACCCCCGCCCACATCTACGGGACAGACTGGCCATTCCTGAAAAAAGTCCGTTAAGGAGAAGACAAGACCGGGAAAGCGAGACCGGCTGCCTGGCACAGTCTACCCACTCTCCCAGCGGTTAACTGGGCACCGCTCCTTTGCACCAAGGGCTACAAAGTGGGGGGTCAGCCTCAGGGACGCAGTGGTCCAGCCAAACGACCGGTGGACCAAGCGAACATCACTGTTCTCCTGCAGCGATTCCCCGAAAGGCCGAACTTCGTGCAGCCCAGTACCTCTCCCCTCAAACCTGGGGCATCCAGGCACGTGACTCTCCAGGCATCTCAACCACACCCCCGGGGTGGGGGGCGAGGGGCAGGCACGCGCGCTCCGCGGCCCCAATCAGGAAAGATCGCCAGGACTGGCTGTAACTCTCCCAACTCGAGTCCTCAGACCCAACCCTCCTCCCCTTCGCCAACGGGAACACCGAACCAAAGTGGCCTGGCACGCGAGGTGAGAAAGCCCCTGTTGGGGTTCGCTTCTGTCTCCCGCAGAGCGAAACGATCACATCGCAAAACCGTGGGCCGGTCGGGTCTCCCGGGCCCGGGCAGCGCTCGCGGGCACGTCCGGCCTTCCGGGTTGAGGCCCGGCTGCCGTTTGTAACCCTGCGTCCGTGCGAGACGACAATGTCGCCGCCGGATGCCACAGAGCCGGGAGCGCGCGCCCGCCGGGGCCCGACGCGCGGACTCGGGGTCAGCGAGCCGCCCCAG